CTTTTGCAGCCAAAAGAACTTACCGCAACTGTGGATCTGCTTTAAATTGAAGAGAAGAGCAATCCTTCAGCGGCCCTATGGATCAAAGATTCCAAAGCTCAGCTTTGCTGGGTAGAGTTATTATACAGCTCTGTGGCTCGATTTTCTCACACTCTCCTCGTTCCTTCTGACTTCCTTTGACTGTATGGATAACTCACAGCTGTTTCCCCAGTGACTTCTATGGAAGCTGCATCTATTTTCAATAGGTATGAATGAAGAATAAATTCAATTTATGGTAATGTCTCTTAATAAACACTATTGGCGTCCACACAGAACAAAATAAGTTTTCCATTCTTTTTTCTCTTGTTTTTTTTACATGGGGAAATTGGAAATATGCAGTATAGGAAATAATAGTGGCCATATATGTTGTGTTTAAGTTTAGAGGGAAAATAACTTAAACATCGGAAGATAACTTTCTGCGATCTTAACACCACCAATTCCAAAATGAAATGGCCTTTGAGTGGATCACTAAAGAAATAGAGATCAAGCATGCCTTACAAAGGTAGGGTAGCTTTTCTTGGTTAACATTCAGCCCTATTAGGGTACAGCTAGACTACAGCTTTTTTCTGAAAAAGTTACACAAAATGTGCTCTGCATTTTGCGTAGCTTTTTCCGATCCTTTTGTCAGAAAAGGCTTTTCTGACATTTGGCCCATCTAGATGGGGCCAAATATCGGGAAAAACGCCTCTTTCAGAAGCCCCCTTATTATTCATGGAACGAGGAATACAAGGGCTTCCAAAAGAGTGTGTTTGCTCTTCCTCAAAAAAAAAAGCAGACGAGCATTCCCTGGACACGGAACAGTTCTTCCTGGAAAAACAGTGTAGTCTAGCCATACCCTTTCAGAGTTATTACAGCTTGAACCTTTCTAGTCTGGAACTCTCTGGTCAAGCAACATCTGTGGTCTGGCATGATTTCAGTTATCTGGATGTCCACTTATGGGTGTGGCCACGTTTCCGGCAGTCCCATAAGGTTTGTTTATAGCCACCAGTCCTTGTTCTCAGAGTTCTGTGATGTTATTTAGCTCTAATTTACCCTTAAATGTCTGCGAAGAACCCAGTAAGCAGTGGAAGTGTTGGTAATGCTGCTAGACAATATTGATTTCCCATTGTTCGGCAAATTCTCTTGTTTGACACTGGTCAGGTCCCCAGGTGCCACACTGGAGAGGTTCAACCTATATTATGCGTATGTCTTCCTGATTGACAGAATATCTATTGAAACATAAGTGAATGACAGCATGAGCAAGGGTGATATTATTGACAGAAACCAGTGGCTAATTATCTTGTGGTTTTCTCTTGAGGCTAGTGGCTTAAAGGGTCATACTTTGAATTATAACTCAGGAATGATGACTGCCAGAAATCATCAGAATACTCACGTCTTTCCTCGTCGTATTCTGCTCGAAACAAAAATGCAGAAAATTTGTTTTCATTCAGTTGTTGAATATGAGGTATATGTATGATAGTGTCTAAGGCTATGTGTAGACTGCAGGCTTCTTCCGGAATAAGCTTTTCCAGAAGAGATCTTCCGGAAAAGCTTATTTCGAAAGAGAGCGTCCACACAAAAAAAGCACAACAAAATAGTGATTTGCTATTTCGAAAGATAGTGACCACACTGATTGGATGCTATCTCGCATTCAAGGCCACCTGGAACCAATTCAGGCAGGGCATTAGGTTGGCAGCTGCTTCCAGGTGCTGTTGCCTTAGGTCTATCTGAGACACGTGCTTAAAGGGACCCCCCCTGGAGAGCCATTTCTCAGCTTCTTCTGATTGCTTGTCTACCTCTCCGAGGAACAGCAAAGCATTTCCTCTGTGTGCTCAGGCTGCCTTGCTTCAGGACACCACAGCACATCCTTGCCATGAAGCTGGGGCTGCCTCTGAGCATGCAATGGTCCCATGCTACCATGCTGCAGTTTCTGCAGCAGTTTTTGCAGGCTGCCTTCATGGCCCTCAGAGTTCATCCTTGAGAACCTCTGCCTGTGTGCGGGAGCAAGGACCTTGCAACTGCACCCCACGATGGAGAGACAGTTCTGGCGGTGGGACTGGCTGGTGATGGAGCATGGGATGATGAGCAGTGGCTCCATAATTTCCACATGAGGAAGGAGACATTCATGGAGCTGTTTTCCTGGCTCACCCCTGCCCTCCCTTGATATGACACCCAGCTGCAACCCGCCATCCCCCTGGAAAAGCAGGTCGCCAGTGCTGTCTGGAAGCTCGCCACGCCAGACAGTTACAGGTCTGTGGGCAACCAGGTCAGTGTGGGAAAGTCCACTGTCGGGACCCTCCTTATGGTGGTAAGGCACTCTCAGGCTATAGTCCCTGGAGGAAGGGGGAGTACTGGAAAGGGGGATCCTAGGGAAAGGGTGGGTTGGGAGTGTGGGGGGGTGAGGTGTGTGGGAAAAAACCCTGCCCCCAGGGGATTCTGCAGTAATGCCCTCACACAGCCCTGGGGGCGA